TCCTTCTCGGCCCCGGGGCTCAGCCTGGATTGAGCCGTTCCCCGCTGGGCACGAGCGGGTCCTTGCTTCAAAAGCCAGCGAAGTTAGAACATGCCTCTGCGCCTGGGATGACTGCAGTTTGTACATAGAACCCAGCATTTGGAAAATCACAAAAGCATATTGCGGAAATTAAAGCAAAAGAAGATCCACAAAAAATCCGACCTTAAAAAAAACAGCAACACTTTTCCTTCCTCCAAATGAAGGTGAAATGTAAGTGGTGGAGAATCAGAGGTAGGCACGTGGAGAGATGGGCTTTCCAACGCCCCTTCCTTTGTGGGCCTCGGTGTCCTTGGCCGTGTGTCCGGAAGCTGGGGGGCAGCGGAAGGAGCACCACGGGGCCGGGCCCAGGAGGGCATTTCTGTGACATGCAGAATAGAGTGATGGAGGTCTGTGTTCTTTATTTACGAAAGACATTTGTTTGAGTGTTTGAACCAAACCTAAGTAGCAAAGTAGGTACCTTTTTGTGGCCAAGTTCTGGAAAGGCCAGCAGGTGTGGGAGCTTCTCAATGAGGGGCCTGTCCTCAAACATCTTTCTTTGTCTTGGTATTAATATTTCGGGGGAGTGTGTGTGTCCATTCCACGCGGCGGAATTAACAGCTTTGCAGCAACGTCTTTCCGTCTCTTTCCACCAGGGGACAGAACCCTTTCTGCTGGGCAGGAGTGATGGTCCTTAACTCTTACTGGTTCCCTTAAACCCACTTTGGTCCCCCTGTGCTTACCTTTCCCAAGGATCCGGCTTAGGGTCCAAAACACTCCTGGCTCTTTTACTCAATCCCACTATGACATCAAAATTCCTTCAGGCCCCTCCCCACCTGCTGGATGTTTCTCTCCGACATGGCCTTGGGGGATTAACTACCCCCATTTCAGTTCGCAAGCTCCGATGGAACTTGGGGTGTCCATTTAAGCATATGCCACACTGTCATGACCCAGAGTGTCGACATTGCTCTACCTGGGGCATTTCAGATCCCCAGCCTCTGAGGGAGAGTGGAGCCCCCCACCCTTGGAGCGCCTCCGAGGACCAGGCGGTCGCTCCCGGTGTTACAGAGCCACGGGGTGCCCGCCAGCGTCCCTCCCAAAGAGGCGCACCTGCGCGCTTCACCAGCCGTGGGGAGGGGCCTTCGGGTCACCCAGGGAAGCAGGAGCAGGGGAGAGGCGGGACCCCGGACGGGCACCAGGTCGGGAAGTGCTCAGAAGGCTGTCAGCTGCCCCGATTTTCATCTCAAAGTCTTACCTTTGCATTTCAGTTATCAGAGGAAAATGGGCAAATTGTGGGGCATATTTTCCTTGGTAAAATAATCCTAATGATTTCAGACTCTAACAGTGTGAGGAACCGCACTTCGATGCAACTGCACAGGCCTCGGTAATCATTGCTTGAATAAAGCGAATTTTAGAAATGCCTTTTTTTAACAAATCATTTATTTATGTTGAGAGAGAGAGTGCGCGAGAGCAGGGAAAGGGGCAGAGGGACAGGGAGAGAGAGAATCCCAAGTGAGCTCCATGCCGAGCACAGAGCCCGACGCAGGGCTGGAGCCCCCGACTGGGAGATCGTGACCGGAGCTAAAGTCAAGAGTCGGACACTCCAGCGACTGAGCCACCCAGGTGCTCCTAAAAATGTCTCTTTGAGAGGGATCTAATGGACCTCTTTTAATTACAGAATGAGTTTGTCCGCAGTCTCCTCGAGGCTGACTAGCTCTCTCGGTGGGATGGCCACGCGGCCCCTGCGGAAAGTGTCTCCATTCCCATCCTGACTGTTGGAAACACAGGTTGCTACAAAGTGGACTAAAAATGTCCCTGAAATATTAATAATAAAACAAAGATTTTTGGAGACAGGCTTCTCTTTGAGAAGGAAACATTACGCGATATTAATGGGGTTTCTCAGATTTCCATAATCCCAAGGGTTTCTACCAGGATTTCCTGCACTTACGGACAACCCCTGCCACGCACACAGGCAAACACACGGAAGCGAACAATCCTCCTTTCTCTGTCTCCATCTCGCACACACACACCGGCTCCCGACGGCACAGACACGGAAGGGACAGCGTCCAGACTGAAAATCGAAGATCCACGATGCAGGGTGGGGTTTGCCAGACGGTCTTCAGAAGCTCAAGTCACATGACTTCAGCTCCGGTTTTGAGAGGACAAAGGAGACGGGTCAGGAGTGGGTCTCGGGGTCCCAAGAAAAAGTCTCTGGAGTCGCGGCTCCCAGAAGAAATGATCTGGTGGCTGAGGAGGAGGCAGCTCTGGACCGGACACGTGTCCTCTGGAGGGAGCCATGCATCTCCTCCGTGGACTGTGGCACTCATGGCCGTGAGCCCGACCCTGCCTCCAGCTTCTCATTTATGCCCTGAGACTCCCGCCAGGCGCCCCGGGGCTCTGAGAGGTCCCAGCCCCGGGGGCCTCGAGGACAGGTGACCCGCCAGTCGCTCTGCTCTGTCCTCGCTGAGGCTCCAGGTTGGGGAGCCCCACGAGCGGAGGCCATGCCAGGCCGTGAACTTCCTCCTGGACTCGGCCGCATCAACTCAACAGTGACCTGTGGCTTGCTACCCACATGGAGCCCACAGAGAGGTGGCCGGGCCACTGGGAACAGAGCGCCCACAGTAGACAGCTGAACGGACGGAGCTTTTCTCCGGGACTTTTGGGGGTAGTCAGGTCGCAGCCGAAGATGCTGGGGTGCTTTGATTTGCCTTTCCCACTCAGCGTCAACGGAAGGCGAAGGAAAGGCCACGGGCACCTCAGTTCACTCTGGGAGGCAGGAGCCCGCCTCCGGCCCGGGGCGACTTCGCCTCCCTCTCCCCCTGCCGCCCACCAGCTCCTGCTTTTCCTCTCGGAAAATCTGAGACACTCAGATCACCCCTGGGTGGTTCTTTCTCCCGCAATTATGAGCAAACAAATCCGTTTGAAATGTTTCAGGAGACGGGCAGGGTCTGTCCCTGGGTTGGTCTCCATGTTCAGAACGAAAGCAAGGGCTTGGGAGTAAGGCGCGTGCGGGCCTGATCACCGCGCGGCTCTCTCCCGGTCCGCCTCACCCCTCCAGGGCAAGGATGCCGGCGACCGACCTCGCACGGCCAGCGGGGCTGAGGACGGCGTGCTATGGTGCTGGGGTCACAAACAGACATCGGGGAGCATGACTCAGGGGCTCCAGGCTCCCCGGCACTCTGAGGAGAGGCCGCGAGGCCCCCACCGCACCCCCAGGTCCGGCTGGGTGGCGGGGGATCCCCAACACCACCGGCACGTTCCCCCCGGGCAGAGACCGCTCAGCCTGGGGCCGGGGCTCCCCAGAGTGGAAGCAGACGGGCGTGTTAAAGGAAGGCATTTCGTTAGCCGATGAGCCAACCGATAAGGACGCAGCCGTGTGCGTGAGAGCCCGCGCGCGCTCGCTCTAATGAAAACCCTGTGCTCCCGGCCCAGCGCGGCCCAGGCTGCTTCTCTTTCGCTTTCGCTTCCCTTCCCTCCACGCGGACCCCTCTGCCTGTCGCCCGTCGCCCTTCATGGCCTGTGAGCGATCCGCGGGGGCTGGAACTCACGGGATGGCATCCAGCGCCCCGTTCCTTCTCCCTCTGCTCTCAACCCCCACCATTTTCTAAATTAAACACTGTAGCTCGCAAACAATTAGATACAATTTCCCCTTTGAAACGAGAAGGGCAGGGGATTCATTGTAGCGTTTCTTGGCGGGTTTTCAGAAGACTTAAGGTATATATCAAATGCCTTGGAGTCCGAAAGCTGCGCATTCAGAGCAAACCGATCCTCTCTTTTCGGCAAAGAATAAGATACAGATTCAAGCGCGCCCTCGCGCTCCCAGCGGCGCTCTCGCGTCCGGGTTCGTGGACGGGGATACGTTATCAGGAGATGCCCCTCCGGAGGTCGAAGACCGTCTCTCTAGCCGCAGCCGGGAGCGTCTGTGTAGACACGGATGCACTCTCCAGGTCCAAACGCACCGCAAAGGCAGAGAGAAATGTGCCGGATTTTTCCCACGTGTGTGTGGCTGGGAAAGTGACGGGGACGAGCAGCGAGACCGTGAGGACGTGGACACAAGTGCTTCAGCCCCACAGGGGCAGACAGGAGCGTGGTGAGTGTCTCCTCTGTCGCCCAGAGGAAGAGACTGTCTGCACGTCCCTGCTCGGGTCTCCGTGGTTCTGTAAACTCCAAATGCTCGAGCCCTCAGGCAGTCTCCGGGCCCGGTGTCCAAGACTTTCCCAGGCACAGACTGCCCACAGTTTGGGGACAGCAAGTCATGAAGACACATGTAGCATCTTTAGGTCCTAGAAGCAATGAGACAGCACAGGAGCCCCCCCACCCCCGGCTCCCCAGGGGTCTTGAGAGAGAGACAAAGATGCCCAAGGACCAGCGTCCTCCCCCCGGACGGGCCAGAGGCAGCCGGGCCACTCTGATTCCCCTCACTGGGAGCCTGTCTCTCACAAAGAGACCCTCAAGTAGCACCCCAGAGGCCCCCGCGACTCCAGCCCGATTCCCAAATCCAGGGCGGACAGAAAAACACAACGATTTCGCACATGTGACCGAAACCCTCCCTGAACGTCTCTCAAACTGGTCAGAGCAGGAGCACTTGACCACCTCCGTGTTCCTACAAAACGCGTCTGCTTCGGGGCGGTGGGGGGCAGGGGGGGAGTGTGGCCCGGCCCCCACCTCCTCGTGGCACCCTGGTAGTTTGGGTGGATTTCCTCACAATTTAACGTGTAAGATTCTAAGATGCAACAGGAATGAAAATCGTGGAACGTAAACTCATATTCACAGCACCTATCCCTGTGAGTTCGTTTGATATTTAAAAAACAAACTCGAGAAAGTGGCCAAAATGGAGAGCCATTTTTTTTAAATTTGAAATATTTGATCTCAAAGAATGTTGTTCAGGGGCCGGTGATAGTTTCCACAGAAGGCCCGGTGCCCGAGCACAGCTTGGGTGAAATCCAACCTTTCTCAGGTCATTTCCCAAGCTCTGGCCACCTGCGGGGAGCCGAGTCCCTGCGTCTGGAGAGGGACAGAGGGGGAGAGAGCACAGCTGTCGCTCAGAGGACCAGGGTTTGGTGCGGAGCCGAGGTGCTCATGGAGAGCCCAAGACTTTGAAACAGGGCCTGACTTCAGACCCCCTCTGCTTGGCTTCGTTCCTTTGAAAGCTCTATAAGGGCAGACGTGCATGGGCTCCCGTGAACTCAGCTGTTGCAGCTTCCCTAGCTCTCAGATCATGAACCCGGGGTGGGGAAGGCTCCAGCGGGGTCTCCCCCGCCACACGCCAGGAGCCTAGAGACCGGGTTTTGGGGACCTGGGCACTGCAGCTGCTGAGGGGGTGGGGGGGCGTGTCCTCCTGGGTGCTGTCACCTCCAGGGACTTGGCTCCTATCCCCGTGGCCGCCGGCCTGGCATCAGGGTGGGGAGGGGCTCTGTTTCCTGGAGGAACCGACCCTCGACCCCACCCCATGGAAACAGGAGCCCTCGGCCCCTCCGCGACGCCCACCCGCCCTCAGGTCTGAACCCGACCTGCTGCAGGGCGTGCAGCGGAGGGGACCTGACCAGCCCACGTCGAGAACTTTGAAGGGGCCTCGGGAATCGTGTTATAGTCTCGGCTCTGTCCACGCGCTGTTTACAACACCCCAGAGGCCGGGAGCCACCCAGGCCTCCGTCCCACCGCAGCCGGCCTTTGTCCCAGGAAGTCGGCAAAGCCCGCGGACCTGGAACTGTGACTTTCTCCACGGGTCTGGCTGATAAGGCCTTTGTGCCTGTGGGAACCGACAGTGAAAACCCCCAGCTTTTGTGTGCACCCCAGTCGCCCTCATACCTCCATGCCCTCGGCGGAGGCAGCACCCGCGGAGTTCGAGGAAAGATCGCGCTGATTCCTGTCCACCTCCGGCCCCCCTTCCAGGTGGAGGCATGTTGGGGATGCCTCCGCCCCCACCCGGCCCGGCCCTGCAATTAGCACTAATAGCAACTAATTCCATCTGCCGCTCAAAGTCCAGGCAGCCACGGCTGAGGGCCACTGCCCTCGTGTCCTACTCTCCAGCCCCGCCAGGTGCCCAGAGGACCGTCCAGGGCTGGGGACAGGGTGCCGGCTGTGCCTGGGACTGCTCCCCACGGCCAAGAGCTCTAGACCCTCCCTGGGGTCTGAGGCTCCTGCTGGGGCTGTGCCGGCGGACGGAGTGTGTGTCCCGGGGAGGCCGGGCAGTCTGGGAGTGCGGCTGGGGCTGCAGAGGGGTCCCGGCAAGGTGGGGCAGCCCTGGAAGCTGGGAGGGTGTGGGGGGGGACCTCGGCAGCCCTGGAGGACATAGGGGATTCCAGGAGGTCCAGCTCCGAGGTGGGGGGGAGGCATCCCAGGAGAACCAGCGGCACTGGGAGAGGGGGGTGAGGAGGGAGGGGGTCCCGGGAGGCAGGGTGGCCCTCCGAGGGGGTCGGACAGGGAGGCGGAGAGGGGAGGCGGGCCACACTTAGTCCCCGCTAGCCCGGAGTAGGAGCCTAGCAGCCGGCTGGAGGGAGGACGGAGGGAGGACGTGGCCCCAGGAGCCGTTCGCACGAAGCGGGAGCGGGACACCAGGTCAGAGCGGGGCCTCGGGGAGGGACCTGGCGGCGGGCGGGCCCACATTGCCCTCTAACGGGCCCCAGGGGAAGCCGGGCCGTGGACCCTCCTCTGTTCCCAGCCAGTCCCTGCCTTTGTGCCCCCACTGGTGCGATGGCGGGCGGATGGGAGGGCGCTGTGCCAGCAGAACAGCCCACCTTGTTGGGGCCTCCCTGGCATTGTTGGAGTTTGAGTCCCACAGACGTTGGACCCCGTTTTGAAATGCAGTGGCTCGAGTATGATTTTTATGAAACAGTTATTTGGTCACTGTCATTCTTTAGATAAAAGGACACAGAACTGGGGTCATAACAATGGGTTTAATTACAAAAGTGAGTAAGGCCCAGAGTCTAGTCTCCATTTTACAGTCTTGTCACTGATCCCGTGTTGCAGCCGAAGGAAATTAGTGCAGGGAGAGGGAGTTTGCCCACCGTCTCGTTACCGCTGTCTGGGTGCTCTTGGGGTACGTCCCTGCGCATTGGGGACCCAGTGGGGCTCTGTGTGTCCTCTCGGGAGCTCCCTGCTCTTGTCCGGGGCGAGTCAGGACCAGTGGTTTGTGCGGGAGCCCACACGGACATGGCCTGTGGAGGGGAAAAGGGTTCCGGTGAGGGAGGAGGAAGCTCAGCCCTCCAGATGCTTCCCGGGGCCTGGGGGTGAGAGGAGAGGCAGGAGTGGTATGCGGGCCACGTGCCCCACTCAGTCTCTGGGTGTCCGCGCCACGTCCCACTGCTGCTGGATGGTCTGGCCTGATCCCTCACCCACTGGCCCTCCAGCAAGAGGGCAGTGCTGGAGGGCCTCTCGGGGGGATCAGTCTGGAGAAGCTGGGACCCCTGCATTTCCCAAGGCAGGTGCAATCATCTTGGTCTCTCTCTGGCCTCTGGGTCAGTCTTGCGGCCAGCCTCCGGGCTCCTGGAAGCCCTTGACCCCTGTTATCTGGATAGAGACCCGGGTGGTAGGCAGTTTGACATTTCTGGACTTGAGATGCAAGACCCCTGGTGTCAGCCCCACTATGAGAAGAGTTGGGACCTGTCCTCGGCCCAGGACCTGTGTCACTGTTCTCCAGAGAGGGTAGGGGGTCCCAGGGAGGAAAGACCCCCATCCTCTCCCACAGTCACCCAGGCCATTAGAGCCCGATCCCTGGGTGCCATCCCAAATGGGCCTGCCCTGGTGCCCTTCTGAGCCGTAGGGTTTTCCAGATCTTGGCCACACCTCCAGGGCAGATGGCCCCCTTTCCAGATACCTGTGGGCAAGCCACAGGGCTCCTTGGAGTGTTAAGGTTAGATATTCCAAACTCACCTCCCCTCGACCTGAGTCTGCTTCCCCAGGCCACGGCGTCTGCCCTGACCCCCTGCACCCTCCCTGTTCTCAGTGAACGCCCGTCTAGCCTGGGATGGCTGCTGGGCACAGAGCTTGCTGTGCCCCTCTGCCTTCCCTTGGAAATGGTGTCCACACTCGTGGGAGAGTCCCAGCCTGCTGCCCTGGCCCGCAGGGCCTCTGTCTGCGTGCATGACCATGTTTAAAACATGCAGATTCACTCTTGACCCCCAAGCCCCCCACCCCCAGCAGCAACACGGGTCTGGCCTGCACACTGCGACGAGGACCCTGAGAACCACGCCGGGCCCTGCTCCTGGTTGGCAAGAGCCGCCCTCCCTGATGTTTCCCGCTGGGACGTGCCCCGCCTGGGAACCTCCAGGCGGCTTCTCACCAATTTCAACTCTTTCACCAACACCCAACCACCGCATGAAACAAATTCCAAGGGATGCGGTCCTTCTGAGTATGTTCTGCAAAGTTCCAGAGGGGGACCTCTGAGCAGGAGTTAGTAGGCAGGTCAAGTGGCCAGCCGGCCGGGCCCTGCAAGGAGCGGCGTGGCCTGCCCTGTGCCCGGCATGGCTCCCTGAGCAAGGACGGCCATGCTCACCCCTTCTCTCTGCCTTTCTGTCCTAGATTTATTATAAAGTCATCAAGGACATTGAGCCTGGGGAGGAGCTGCTCGTGCACGTGAAGGAAGGCGCGTACTCCTTGGGGACAGTGCCCTCCAGTCTGGATGGTAAGCCCCCCGCCTGGCAGGAGCTCGAGGCCTCCCGTTGCATCACACCGCGTGACGGGGGCCGCACTCCTGAGCTCCTGCCCCGGGCGCCCCTCCCAGTCTCGCAGCCAAAGCATCGTTCTCTCCCGTCTTTGAGTTACACGAGCCACATGCCGCATTCTAGACGGCACTCCGGACAACACGCGTGAGTGGCTGTCGTGTGGCACCGTATCTTTGTGGTGGTAGACTCCCAGGGGGATTTTTTAAATCTCTATTATTAATATCAGCCCCAGTACTTAAAAAAACAAAAACAAGAACAAGAACAAACAAAAACACACATTTTATGACTTGGAAACCGTCACCCTCCAGAGCCCTGGGAGGCATTTGGGGCTCATTGAAGAGAGGGCAATGACGGCATGTGTGTGTCTGAAAGCTGTGCCTGCCTACGGTTAACAGCAAAAAGTCCAAGAGAAACGTTAAGGGAAAACTGATTTTGTGAGAGGCAACCCGGGGGGCTCCGGGGGTCCCACAGGGGCAGGAATGACAGCTGAGTTCTTCCCACTGACCCTGCCCGTCGCTCCTGACTCGTCAATCTGTGCTCGTCCAGGGGCTCCCTTGCCCCCTCCCTCAACCACGGCCAAGTGCATCTCAGAGGACGTTCGAAAAATTCCTGCTGCAAAGAGGCTAGGATTTCTGAAATGCAAAAATTATTTTCCTTCATCCACGTTGTGGAGCAATGTACCATTCACCTTGGGGTCTGGAACCGCTTCTCAGTCCATTCGAGGAACGCTGTGCTGGCAGCAGAGCACTGCCCGTCAGCTCCCTGCGTGCCGCCGCCAGCACACGGTGTCTTTTCTTGGAATGAGACCCCACAAGTGAACAGCGAAGCAGCCTCCCCTCCTGGCGGGGGCTGGTGACTCCGTTCACGCTGGAGCAGGGGGAGGCCGGTTTCCCCTTCCTGCCTTTCTTTCCCTCCCATCCGAAGGCACAGGGGCATAATGACTAACGCCACTGACCACAAGTTCCTCTAATACTATCACATGAGGGAGTGGCGCTGGCTGGGGCTGGAGCCGACGCAGAGATCTCTGCCTTAATTTACCCTTTCGATCCCCAAGCGTGGCCCAGCAATGAGGGTCCTCGCTCCACGCGGCCCGTGTCTCTGAGCTCCCGCTCCAGAGGCCACAGAGCCGGGTCCTATCTGTATGCGCCTCTGAAGTTTGGTTCCAATTAGGCCGTGGAGAAAAGAAAAATGGCCGAGGTCTGGGTCGTGAGGGGATGGTCTCATTTTCCTTAAAATAATTGTTGGAAAGACCTGTAGAGCTCAGGTAGCACAGGAGAACGCGGAAAGATAAACCCACTTACCTCAGGGGAGCACCCGGCACGATCTCGTTTGTGTAATGAAACTTCTTTCTTCCAAAAGGTTTTAAAAAAACCTTGATTGCTATCCACCACCACCAACCGCCCCTCTCCCCCCACCCCGGCTCCCGATCTCAAATAAGCTGGGTCCACATTTCCCTAATAATTCATCAAACATTTGCGGGCTAATTGCTTTCCACACACAATAGTCCAGAATCAAATGTCTGACTTTTCATACTCTCTGCTGTGGTGGTCACCCCCTTGCCCCCCAACAGCCGCCCCCTCCCAGCTAAACTCAGAATCGCACAGAAAGAAAATGCAAAAATGTTCCTCACTAAGATAATTATCATAAAAAATCTTTTATCCCAGCCCCAGCTAAATGCGGAGGCCCCTTATCGCGGCAGGAACTTGGAGTGGGCCCTCCAGCGCTTTTGAGGCTCAGTCTGGCAGATTAGTATGTAGATGCCACATAATTGTGTCCCCCTCGGCTCTCTGAAGCCATTAGGCACTGACTTATTTTTCTGTTACATTCCTGCTCGGCCATGAAAAGTTGCTGATAGAACAGAGAGACCGCCAGGCACACACCTGACACACGCCACGATGGGCGGGCACACCCGGGTCCAGTCCGCGTTGGGAGGACACGGGGCTTCCCCAGCTCGCGGACCCCATGGACTCCCAGCGGGTTCAGATGAAAGGAGTTCAGTTTTGAATTACAATTTTTGCATGCTGCCGTCAGGGGCAGGGGCCTTTGCCGGGGAGCAAGGTTCAGGTACACGCAGAAGAAACAGCGTCCCGGGTCCCCGGCCCACGGGGCCAGAGCAGGGACAGAGCGCGCGGGGCCTGCAGCTCTGAGCCCAGGAAGGCTCTTCCCCAGCCGCAGCTTTGTAAAGGAGCGCGCCTCCAATGCCCCGGCAAGTGACTCAGAGCAGAGGGAAGCCACTTTCGCATTCATTAGTTCCAGCGACTTTCTATTTTGTTTTTACGCTCAGTAGAGAAGGGAAAGATTTCTCTTTCGGGAAAGCTTCTTGCTCTTGGGAGAAAATAAAGAAAATAATTTCCATTCAAATGTGCTTTTCTTTTGAGAAAGGCTCAAAATTGTTAACTCCCCCCACCATAGAAAGTCAAGAGGATACAGTAAATTGCATATAAAGCGCACCAGACAGATTATAATACAATATAACACAACATAACATACGCGACAACACGGCCGGCTGCAGTAGCATATGATACAATGTAACACAATACAGCCAGAGGAGAACGGTCGCTCTTAGTATTTTTTTTTAACATGGAATTATCGTGCTGGGCAGTTGGACCACACGGGCAGGGTCCATCCTTCCTGGGGCATCTAGCGAGCCCCAAGCGTGGACGCTTTGCGCCCGCCTTACCTGCGTGAGGGAAGCTGGGACCCCTGTCCACACCATAGCACAGGGTGAGGGAGGGGCGGGTGTCGAGGCTCACCCACCGCCAGCCCCCGGCTCCATCCTTCACCCTCGCAAACTTGGGTCCGTGGAGGGATGAGGGCGAGGAGGGCGCCTTTTAACCCCCCCACCCCACCCCATCTGTTTAACGGCCTCAGGACGTCCTCACATGCTGTCACCGCGGCAATGGGCTCAGTTTTCATTTTAAGTCCAAATTCCAGATCGAAACTGAGATAGTGGAGTTGGTTGGTGGTACGGATGGGTGGGGTTGTCCTTTCTTCTCGTCTTTGTTTTCAAATTTCAACTCCTGTGACTGTTCTCAGTTGGGTCCAGAAAGAGTCAACTACCAACGGGCATTTCGAACTGACTCACGGCGCCGGTGGCGGTGGGAGGCCCCAGGAAGTCAGAACAAACCCACAGGGGCGGCTCTGAGGGGTCGAGGCATCCGGCTCCGTTCTGAAATGGTGTTCTCGGTCCTCAGATGGGGAGGAAATCCACATTTCTAAAGATGACGAGGGCCCGCGGGGGAATGCCAGGCCGTTCCGAGCGCACACGCCACGTCTGGCGCTGCACTGGGCCCCTCGCGGGAAGCTGGGATGCTGCCACCGCACTTCCCGGGCCCCGCCCGGCGGCTCAGCTCCGGTTACACAGCCCTGCCGCCTGCTCTCTGGG